AGTCCTCTCTGGCCTGAATCCCTGGAGGCCAGGACACTGGTTCAGGGCCATCCCCTTGCCTCACATCCCCGAGTCACCTCTGGCCAAACTCGACCCAGCTACAGGCATTGAACAAGCAAAAGTCTCGTTCTGCCCACACCCTAACCTGCCCCACCCCCACCCCCACCTCCCACTGCCCCCACAGCGGCCTCTGAGTGAGTGCCCACATCTGGAAGGGAGTGTCCAGAGGGCCTGTCCCAATGCTGGGCAGGTCCAAGGGACAGCTGGCCCGGAAGTGCCCGCCCCTTCCCAGAGCCTGCCCTGCATCTTCCCTCCTTCTACTGAGGGCGTTCCTAGGTGCCCGGGCACCAGGGCCTCAGTGGACCATCAGTGCAGAGGGCATCCCAGGGAGGGCACTCCTTCCAGTCAGGCATCAGGGAAGGCTCTCTGGGGACAAAAGCTGTAACCAGGTCTTAAAGGGCAAGTAAGGGTCAGCAAGAGATGGCCACGGGGCGCTGCAAGGCGGTTCTCTGGGATCCCAGGGCCCAGCACAGGGCCTGCATGAAGCCGGTGCCCTCGCGAACACTTGCTACGTGGCTCTCGGGGTGCCCGGCGTGCTGCGCAGCTGGTCCCTCCTGCTGCCGCCCCTCCCCAGGCTCTGTGCCACCTCTGCTGCCCTCCCTAATGGGCCACTGGGTTGGAAGCTGCGCCTGAAGCAGGACACAGGTGAACACTGGGGTGCTTGCCCCCGGCCTCCAAGGGACCAGCTCAGGAAGGAGATGCAAATGGCAAGGGGGACACTGAGCTTCGCGGGACATAAACAGTGTCCCCAGACAGGGCGGGGAAGAAGAGCGGGGCATCCTGCTCTGGGCAGGAAGGGCGGGACCTGGACCGGAGCTGGCCTCCCTGCAGCCTTGAGGCTCTGCTCACACCCCTTCCGACCCAGGGACCCCCAGGTCTCCTGTCCCCACGTCACAGGGTCTTCCCCTCAGAGAGCTGAGGCCTGCTCGGTGCTCGGCTCCCATCTGGGCTCCGTCACCACACAGTCAGCTCGCTCCGGCCCTCCTGGCCCGGGACAGCCTCCAGGGATGTGAAGACAGAGGCCTCAGTCTCCGAATTTCCCCCCAAACAACACATCCCCGTTTCTTCACCTGGACTTGGTCTCGTGCATTTTCCAATGTCCATCCTTCCAACCTGTCACCGCCACCTGCCTCACTTTCATTTGTTCATGTTTTTTTTCAAAAATATCATTTAACCTCTCGGGGCCTCACTGTCCCCACAGGGACAATAGGAGTCATTTTGGGCCTCCCTTCCGCCAACAGTTATGGGAAGGCAATGAGGTAAAAGCTCTGGCTCTTAGAATCCTAACCAGGGGGTCACTGTGCCTTCCCAGGGGACACTTAGAAATATCTAAAAACACGCCAGGGATACTGCTAAATGTCCCACCATGCACCGGGCAGCCTCGGCAACCGAGTATCATCCAAGCTAAAATGCCACGAGTGCAGAGGCTGAGAAACCCTGAACTAGAATGAGACTTCGGAAGGCGTCTCAGGCTCCGGGAGGACCTGCAAGTCTGTCGGTGAGAACAGTCTCTGTTTCAGAAGCCCCACGGTTTTCCCTCCGTCTCCCAGCCCTCGCCACCAGGAGGCAGCAGAGCAAAGGTTCCGTAGAGCCAGTCTGTGGGGTTTGAGCCCAGGGTCCTTGACCTACAAGCTCTGTGACCCGGAGCAAGTCACTGAACCTCTCTGGGCCTTGTCCCCTTGTCTGTAAAGCAGGGATCATAGCAGGAGCTACCATGGTGTCTGGCAGAAGCCTACAGAACGGGGAGGCTGCTGTCCTCCTCATCCTCACCCTGCCTTATCATCAGGATGCCTTCCTGCTTCTCACCTCAGTCCTTCCCACACGGCCCTCAGCTAAGGGGACAGCAGCTGCTCAGCAAATGTTTTCCGACGGATGCAGGAAGCTTCTCACGCCCCATTCGTGGCACCAGAGGTCTGAGGGCTGCTATTGGGCTGCCTGAACACCCACTTCTCTGGAAGGGACCTGGCCAGGCCCACTTCCCCCACTGCCTTCCTCCCTGGCCTCCGGGGACTCACCCACAGGGTCCACGAGGTCAACGTGGTCCACAAAGTCCCGCTTCCCCAGGTAGACGGTGAGCTGGGGAGGAGAGGCACAAGGTTATGTGAGCAGCTGTGGGCCCGAGAACACACTCCTGAAAAGCCACTGGCCCTGGTCCTGGAGAAAACCTTGGGAGCTGCCCTTGAAACGCCTAGAGCCCTTGACCCATCCCTGACCCGCACTGAAACCCTGACTGGCCTTGGGCGTGAGCCCCGGCCGGATACTAAGAATAGCAAACTCTGGTGCCGTTTTGAAAGCACCTATTCATCCTAAACTCCTATGAAAAAGTTGCTGTTGTTCCATTTTATAGATGAGGACACTGAGCTCTGGAGATCTCTGGCCCAGAGGGTGGAGTGGCTGCAGCGGCTGCGGTCTGCTAGGCGGGAGTCCTGGGCGCAGCTCTGAGAGGCCAGGGAAACCCGGAGCAGGGATGCCGGTGTGAAGCTCTGAGCACTGAGTTCCACACGGTCTGGCAGAAACCCACCCAGGCAAGGTGTTGGAGCAGCGAGGAATCCGCAGCTGGTGCCCCTCGGCAGCCATCTTTCAGGGCAGACCCCGGGCTAGAATCCAGAGGGTCATCCTAGACACATCCTGCTCCTCCACGACCCCTAAAGCCTCGCATTGCACCCCCTCCTCTCTGTTCCGACAGCCACTCCTGCCTGGACTGCGCACCAGCCGCTCCGTGGTCTGCCGCCTGCAGCCTCACACCCCCTCCTTAGCCAGCCTGGCCCTCCTAAAATGCTAATCTAACGATGCTATTCCCCTCTGAAAACCCTTAATGGCTCCTCAGTGCCCAGAGGTAAGATGACAAATGGGTTTCATCCAAATGCCAACTCTGATCTATGGATAGGAGCGCCTGGGGCCCTGGGCTGAGACGGAATCTAGGA